TAAAACATATAAAAATGATTTAATTTTAAATGGAAAAACTAGAAAATAATATGTATGATATCAATTATAAAAAATACGCACAAGGCGATAAGGATAAGGAGATAATACACAAAACTGACAGTACTTGTAAAAGGTGATGGTTTTCTGGATGGTAACCCCATACATGCTTTATCTCCCATTCCATCAACTTTAAATGTATTTTTAACTGGAAATGTTGATGTTTTATCTATCCCAGTGATACAGTGGCAGAAACACAAGGGATATATGGACTACGGCATGACTTATAATAGCAAAATATTGGAAACAACCCAAATATCAATAACAGTTGAATATACTTCATATAATTAAGTATTATAAAATTGCAAAAAGAGACTTTTTAAAAAGCTCTATGTTCTATTATGGAGTGATCATCGAGATATTTTACTAAGTAAATTAAGCGAGTTATAAATCAGTATAAATAGTAAATTATCTTTTATGTAAAAAGGATGACGGATATACAAATAAATAAGTGTGTAAGTAAATATGTATGTGTATATATATAAAAATATGTAAACATAGAGATATGAATATTTTCTTACGTTTACAAATAGAAACACTGAAAAGACAAATCAAACACACTACTAAAATGGTTACCTACAGGCAAAGAGAGAATAAGGAGGGGCTAAGTTGAAAGCAAGTGTCTGATTTTTATTTTGTTATATATTAATAGCTCTCGCTTTGGAATCATGTAAATATTTAACATATTTAATATGTAAAATTAAATCAAAGGACATAGAATACAAAGAGAAAAGAATAGTTTTTTCAACAAATGGTGCTGGGACAACTGGATATTCACCTGCAAAAGACCTAAATGTGAGAGCTAAGACTAAAAAACTCTTAGAAGGAAACTGATAAAAATCCACATAGCCTTGGAGTAAACAATAGTTTCTTAAATATGATACCAAAGCACAAGCAAGAAACGAAAACACAGATAAGCTAGACGTCATCAAAATTAAAAACTTTTGTGTATCCAAAGACACTATCAAGAATGTGAAAGATAATTCACAAAAAGAGAGAAAATATTTACAAATCCTCTATCTGATATAGATCTATTATACAGAATTTATAAAGAACTCTAATAACAATAATAAAGCCCAATTAAAAAATGGGCAAAAAATTTGAGTATTTGAATATATTTCTTCAAAGATATATGAATGGCCAATAAGCACATGAAAAGATGCTCAATCATTAAAAAATGCAAATTAACACCATACTCAATTACTACTTCACACCCACCAAAAGGGCTATAATTAAAAAAATAGACAATAACAAATGTTGGTAACAATATGGAGAACCTGAAACCCTTATCTGTTGCTGGTAAGAATGTAAAATGATGCAGCTGCTATGGAAAGGTTTGGCAGTTCCTCAAAAAGTTAAATATAGAGTTACCATATGACCCAAGGGTATATATATATCCAGGAGAATTAAAAATATATGTTGACACAATTTATACATGAATATTTATAGCAGCATTATTCATAACAATAAAAAAGTGTAAATAATCCAACTAATGATTGGGTTAATTAATAAATCAATTAATAAATCAATTAATTAATAAATCAACTAATGATTTTATGAGACAAAGCCTGCCAATTTTTTTTTTTTCCTTCTTCATCTAAGGTCCATGGACTCCCACAGATGTTATAAATGAACTAGAAGTTAAATGAATTCTTTTGAAATTATATGTAATATTTATGTGCATATATGCATTTCTCTGATAAGAGGGTCCCTCTACCTTCCATAATACTCTCAAATAGGTCTGAAACTCACACAAAAAAATTAAGCAATACTGGTATAATGTAAGTATCACTTTAACAACAGTTTGAAAAAACCACACACAACTAAGTACTCTTCATCCAGTATTCTTTGAAATCTAACATATACACCACTACGTAAGGTTTGATTCAAACTAGCCAATGAACTGCATAATTTGCAGAAACATAAACAAATATTTAAAAGACTACTTTAATTCATCATCCATTGCTTACTTGAATCGCTAATGTTTCTTGCTGTTGACGGGCTTCTTCTTGGGCCTTCTCTAGTGCTGTAGAAAGTTCTTCTTTAGCTTTCATTTCACGGCTCAGAGCAGCTTCCTGGGCCTCACTATCCTTCGCAGCATTGGCTTTGTGAAGATCAGTAAGTTCTCTTAAAAAATTAGATTGAGTTTATAAATGTTGCTAAGATCAGATAATAGAAAAAGTATTTCCTCAACATCCTACTCTGATAATTCATTCTAAATGGGTTGCATATTTGTTCACTTTCTTACTTGTATGCACTATCCAGGGCAGCCTGAATACTTCGGTTCTTTTCTTCAAGTTCATCCATGTCTACTTGAAGTTTGCCAAGATCCTTTTCTTGGCGTCCTACCACAGAATTTAGTTTTTTAATATTTTCTCTATGTTGTTTTTCAACCTCTTCTTTACCATCGAGGACCTATATGTTATATAAACAGACAAAAGTATTTTTCAATAAATAATACCATGGTAAATAATTATATTCCAGGAATCTATAAGAAAAATCTTATTCATCTATTAAATTATTTAAAAAATTCTTCTCACATGATACATCCCATTAAATCATTTCAAATGCTCCATAAACCATGGCCAACTGTTCATATGGGAAGTTAATAACAACATATATGTAAAGAATACTGATCGCTATTCACCTGTTTTAAATGTTGCAACTCCTCTTCTAGCTCTTTAACTTTTTTGTTCAGCTTCGTAATAATATTTTCATTTTCTTTGTCTTTAGCTCTTAGTTTCTTAATGATGTTAGAATTATGCAGCTGCTGTTTTGAAAGTTTTTCTCCTAGTGATGGCAAAAATGTATAAATTCAAATGATAACAATTCCCCAAAAATCTGAATAGAATGTTTTATCTAACGAGTGACATAATTTCAAAATCACTATTTTGCGATCCCTAATGTACCAAATGATTTTGACAAGAATCATCAATAAATGTTAAAATTATAAAGTGACAGGATATTAGGGAATAGGATATTGACATGGTCTTAAAGAATCACTCCCACATATTACTTATGGATTAAAAGGGAAAAATGTGCTTTTACAATGAAATATCTGGCAGTCACCACCTTAACCAAGCATTCAGTTTTGGCATCACCAGTGTCATATAGTATGACATTATGTGCCTACTGATGTGATGTAGTGATGTAGGTGTACAGTATCTAAGCAAGAACAAAGTGACAAATTCCTAAAATGGGGCAATCTGTAGGACAACTGCCCTGGACTCCACAGAGTCGTCAATATCATGAAGAAGAGAGAACTATGCTAGAGCGGTGGAAGGCTAAAGGGACATAACAGCCAAATGCAATGGGTAAACTCTAGATCCTGGGGCAGGATAAATGACTAACTATAAAGGACATTTTTGGAAACAACTGAGATAAATAATGAAATATATGCTAGATTACACTTATGAATTAAAGCTGAATTTCTTTGGGTATGATAATGATGTACTTGTGAAGGAAAATGTATTTGCCCTTGGGAGATGTAGACTAAAGAATTTAGGAGTGGACCGGGCGTGGTGGCTCA